GTGCTTGGTGGCTAACCAATAACCCGTTGCATTCACAATGGAGCGGTTTTAATTATGCAGAAGTGTTTTCAATTGGCCGCTGGCTGCATTCGGCATTCGACTTGACTCGCATTGGCAGTGGCTCAATTAAGTAGCACAGATCCCATAAGCCGATAGCTTGTTTTACTCAAGACTGACACTTAGATAGGGTTATCTAAAACGGCCCGGCTGCAGCTATAGCTACAGCTACTGCACACGACGAAAATAACAGTTGACACTCGTAGCCCCGAAATAGAAGCGTTAAAGAGAGTTTCCAATACAAATGCCGGTTGGTTGGAATGGTTCATTAGTCAAACGCTAGGTGACAATCAGATAGGCCCTTGGACTGTGGTGACTATGGTGGCACCTGCGCCACGTTGAGAATTGGGGACAGCCCGAAGCCCATAGCCTATCGCCTATAGCCTGCAGCATTCCCATGTCAACAAGAGACAAACCAGCCGCTTATCAGCGCTGATAGATTGTGGGACCCGTGGAGAAAGTCGGAGCTACTATCTGGCGCGAAGGGCAGCTCCTCGGCCCCGCGGGTAGATCGCCCGCGGTGCGATAAACACCCAAGCAAACGCATGAATTACAACAAAAAGGCAAAGTGTCAATAAAATTGCGTAGATTATTGCAGGCGAGCTCATAAAATTGTTTACTATCCACCCAGACCAGGGCGGCCCGTGCAGCCCGTGCAGCCCGAGCGACTGTCCATTCAACTGCCAATTTCCTGGTGCGTGTCGTAGACCAACTTCAACTTCAACTTCCACTTCCCAAGTCCAAGTCCGAGTCCAGGTCTAAGATACATGCGCCTGCCGGCATTGTCCACAGTTGATTTTTTTCTCTATATATATGTTGTATATGAATTTATTAAATAAATGCATTACGCTATAAAATAAAGGATGAGAATGAAAGCAAACTGATGACCAAGCCGCAGTGGGAATACCCTAGAAAAAAGATTAAAGGTAGAATGTGTACATATATACACATGTATGTATGTATGTGTATATAATAAATGTAAATAAAATATCACTTTTGTCTGTTATATTTAAAAATTTCCTTACCAATGATTTCCTTGCTAACACATTTCTTACATTTGACATTCTCTTGTTTATGTTTCTTCATACGTACTTACATACATAGGTATGTGTGCATGTTTATAAATTTCCTTTAAGAAATGCCCTTCATTGCAGCTTTTTCTCTTTTCTTTGCACAATCAGCAAGCTCTCACTCTCACACTTGTGATTCCAATTTATAGTTCGTATTTGTTCGCCTCTTTGTGAACGATTTCCTTACGAATTCGTCTGTTATTCTAGACTCTTCTCTCCAACATGTAAATTGGCAATTGTTCTCTTCGTATTCCTCTTGCTTTCACTATTTATATGCCTGTGTGGAATTTCCTTTCTTTGTCTCTTAAAAATTTCCATTTGAATTGCCTACTACTACTACTACAATTACGCAGGTTATATTTTCAATTCTGTTTCTGTTCCGATTTCTGCTCAGCTGTTTATGGGAAATTCTGTTGCAAATTTCCCTTTCATAAAGAAACTAATTCTGCGAGCTTGCTAACGATGATTTTTAAAGAGTATCTCTAGTTTTATACTATTTCTATGCTATGCAGTCGACTTCAGTTGTGCCCCAGTGTCTAGCAACGGGGTGTCCCGAACAACTGTCCAGTTGGCAGTTGCAGCTCCAGTTGGGCATCTCGTGTTGCGCCCTCAGCGCCCATTGCGACAACTGCAATATTATTGTTAATATCATCGTAAATTCGAAATTCTTATGCTTATTGAATTTTCATGTTTGCCAGGCGTACGAGCGGCCAGGCGACACGTACCTCATCCTCTGCTGTTTGTTGTTGCCGTTGTTTGTTGTTGTTGCTGTTGCTGTTTGGAGTAATACATGCAAACGATTTTAGTTATGATAAGAGACGAGTGTCAATAAATGCTCCTGCTGCTCCTCCTGCTGCTGCTGCTGCTGCTGCTCCTGCTGGTCCAGGGCTCGCACTAGTATAGAAGAAGAAGGCAAGACCAATGCCAAATTAACTGAAATTGCAATTTGATCAAATTTCCACAATTTCCGTTTTACTAGTTTGTTGTTATTATAATTGCTTTGCTTTTGTGTGCATGTGTGTGTGTGTGTGTGTGTGTGTGTGTTTGCCTATTGCCATACAATAACAATTAAATGTTTACTCAGCAGCCACACAAATTGCCTTTTTATTGTTTGCACTGTGCAAATTTTATAATATTCGAATTGCAGCTGCCATTTATCAGATTAAAATTGCCTTTTGTCGTGTTGGCCATGGCAAGTGCTTCGATAAATGTTGGCCAAGACAAATCTAATGGCATTTGTGACTTTTAGATCAGCTTCTTGTTGCTTTGGTATAAGCAAAATATTGTATAAATATGCGATAATTAAATATGTATTTGCATTTCATATGGGGCGCATGCCTACAGAACCTTTCTATATGTATGTATGTACACATGTATGTAGGTATATCGAGTATCGCCTTACCATGCACCGAGTAACCGCATTTGCAGCATGCGAAAAAAAAGTGACAACATCCCCAAGGCCTGGGACGCTGCTGCAAATAACTCAATCCTTAACAGAACTGACGGAAACCTTATAAATACAAGAAAATGCTGTTGGCAGCGTTTGCCGTTTGCTGTTTGCTGTTTGCTGTTTGCTCTCTGCGATCATCCAATCACCCGATCCCGATGCCGATCCCGATCCCGATCCCAAATCATCGTGTGGTTAACATCGCATACATGGGAATGCAGCTCTGTGGGCCTCTCCATAATCATATGAGCGGTTCGACTCGGCCGAGCGCAAAACAAGTTTCACTTAGTTAGAATCCATTTCTTATCGCCGCCTCTCGTTTGTCCGCATGCATGTATTGGTGGCACCTATTGGAAAATAACAGATTTAATTTGTCTAACAAACTGCTACCCACAAACACAATCAATGCACACACACACACACACACACACACACACACACACACACACACAAGCATACACGACGCCTCGCAATGTCAGCGGACAGACAGCCGTCATATTGAGATCTCATCAAAAGACCGCACAACAAGTTGCGCTTCCAGTGATAAAGAGTGAGGGAGAGCGAGAGAGAGAGAGAGAGAGAGGGAGAAAAAACGTAAGCGAACTCATTGAAATATTTTGACAGCGGCGTGGCAGGCGTTGAAGTTCAAGAGAAATGTCTCAAGTGCATTCGAAGTATTTCGTAGTCTGACCGCCGCAGCTGACAGCTGCGATCTCAGCATCTCACAAAGCGGGCAAGAGGGCAAGGGGAGGGGGCGCGGGCTCGGTTGGTGGACACACATGACCAAGTCGGAGCATAGCCACATGGCGATCTCAGTGGCTTATCACGTTGATAATGACAATCGATGATTCCTATGAAGGCTTGGCCCAGCTGGAACTCGGCCTCCATTTGTTACACATGGCTTTTGATTTCTAGATTATTTGTTTTTTTTTTTTTCTTTTCTGTTATATATTATTTTTTTAACATACATATCTCCAAAGGTCTGTTACAGTCTCCTTAGTGGGCCCCGAGGCCGAAATTCAGCTTGGCCGAAACCACTTTAAAAACGTATCTTAAAACGTGACGCGCTTTCATATTTCGTGGAGTGTTTGTTTTAGATTTTGTCGGTCGAGCCCAAGTACAAATTGTAGATACGCACACAATGCCATATAAACATACACATACATACATACATATGCATAGTCTAACAATATGTATGTATGTTTGTGCGAGCCTTAATGCAATTAACGTAAGTTTGTTGTTGCACTCAGCTGAGCTTCAAGTGCTCCACATGTCCAGGTTCAGGCGTCGTCTACTTTGATAAGGCTGCAAACCAATTGGGCTATCCATATACTACGCCCATAGGAGATAATACAAGCTCTGGGCACTTTCAATTTGTTATTATAACAAATTAATTTTGACGGCCTGGCTGATTGCAAAAAACTGTCCAATTGGCATTAAAGCCTACGCCGAACAGCATGCTCGACTCTGCAATGCCCGTCTGGCAGACTCGGCTTCTATTGTCTACGTCCATGTCTACGTCCGTGTATGTCTCCCGTTGCCCGGTTGACAGCTCTCCAAATGCGAAAACAGATCAAAGCAAATTATGTGCAACGCCTCTTGGCTGCTTCTCCGCCTGGTTTGACTTGGCTTGAGTTGGTTTGGTTTGGTTTGGTTTCGTCTGGCTTGGCTGCTTAGCAGCGCGCCGAGCTCTCAAGCATTGGCAATAAACCAAAGCGCTTGGCATCCAGAGATACAAATACCACTCGGATTCGCATTCGCATTCGCAGCTAAACAAACTCAAGGCGTACGACGATGGCCAATGGATTTTCATTTGCGAGCCGGCAAGTATTTCATAAATCAACAAACTGCGACGTGGACACGTGGCTCGGAGTACGGCGGGCGGCGGGCGACTGTGTGGAACTGTGTGATGGCTCGATTAAATGGATTTCAATGTGCAGAACTTGTCTCTAGAGTCTCTCGCATTTCCATTTCATCAACAGCCATCAGCAGCAGGAGCAGCAGGAGCCCAGCTAGGAGCAGAGCACGGCGGCAGGGGGCGAGCGAGAACTCATAACAAATTTGCGCGCTTTTATGCCCACAAATTGCCATGTCTTCAGCCAAGTGACAGCGCAATTATCGAGGGCCTGGCCAACGATTCGGATGGCTAATGGAGCGGCGGGGCAGCTGGGGCGGCTGGGGCATGCGGCATGCCACAAGCCACAAGCGCAAGCTGCAGTTGACAGTTTGTTAAAGGGCGCTGAATTGATGAATTGTCTATTAGCAGTGAGGCAGAAGCTGTGGCAGAGGAAGAGAAAGGGGAAGGGGAAGAGGCAGCGGAAGAATATGAAGCCCATTTAGCATTTTGTCAGCCCATTAAAAGTCGCTGTCAAACATTTAGATATGTCTTCCCGATTTATTACAGAAATTCTTTGAATTAATGCTGGGATACATATGTGGATGGGAGTTAGTCTTCAGAATAGGAGCTTTCCAGGAACAGATAGCGCAAGTCTATGGAGTCGGCAAGCGAGCGGCACATGGGGCAGTCCGAGGCGTTGGTCAGATGCTCCCTGATGCATATGTCCCCGAAGACGTGGCCACAGATCAGTGCGGACACACGGTGGCTGCCCGAGGTGGTCCACGGCTCCAGGCAGATGGAGCAAGTTGTGTAATTGGGATCGACGCGATTGCCCTCGATTTCTTCGATTTGCTTCTTCAGTCCCTCGATTTCCTTCAAATAGGTCTCCGCCTGGTGCTCCATATCGGATTGCAGATCGCGGTAAGTCTGCTCCTTCTCGAGCAGCTTCTGCTCATATTCCTCAACGAGCATCTTTTGTGCTAGGAGCAAGCTTTCGATTTCCTCCCTTTCGGCACTGGTCCCGGCGCGATAGTGGATCTGCGCCTCGGCCAGCTTAAGGGACAGATTCTTTGTCTGCTTTAGCACATTGTCCAGCTTCTTGTTAATATGATTCATCTGGCTGCGCGGCAGATGGTGTTTGCCCGAGGTCAACAACTTAGACATAGCCTCCATGCCGACCAACAGTCCACGGATGCAGCTATTGTAGCTCTCCTCCAGCTTCGAGGCGGTAGTCTTTAGCAACTCGACTTCGTTGACGGCAGTCTCTAGCTTCGACTTGAACTGATTACGTTCCACAAGCAGATTGTCCAGCTCTTGGCGAGCTTTGTCAACGGTATCCATCTCACGGGCTACCTTGGCTGCAGGACCATCAGAAGACTTGTTTTGACGTTTTGGTGGCATTGCTAAACTGATTTCCGCTCTTAGATATACTAGAAAAGAACTTAAATTTGATTTATTTCTTCTTTTCTCAATTGAGAAATTGCTTCAGTGATAGAGCTGCTTGACAACCTACACGTGCTGGAGTCGAAAAAGAAAGAACTTTCCTTTTCCTTGCTTTCAAATGTCGACTTCCGTCCAGTGTGTACCCGAAAAGTTGCCAACATTTAGGGACAGCAATTGAAGAGTTGGTATGGTCACACTGTTTTTCCAGGAACACGTCAGCATTTGTTCGAAATTCGAATGTCATTCCAGTCTGAAATTGCGACGAGCAAGCTGAGGTAGCAAGCGGAAAGAAACAACATAGAAAAACTAGAATTCTAACAATTGAATAATTGTGAAAATCATTTTGCAGAATGCCAACTTACACCAGAGAGGAGCTCTTAGCCATTAGAAACAACATGTCTTCGCAATCGCAGCAGCAGAACGAGGAGCCGAAGCCGGAGGGCCGCGCAAACGCCGGGCAGCAGACTCAGCTCGAGGCCCTGGTGACTCCCATTCACGCCTTGTGGAAGAAGTCCAAGGACATACAAAGGCACTTGGACGCCTTCTATGCGACGGTTGAACAGCGCAAGTTGAAGTCTGGCGGCCACGATGAGCGCGCCCTGAAGGTCTTCCGGTCTGCCAGGATTTCCCTGGCGGACTTTCATAGCCAGCTGCATAAGAAGGTTTACGACATGACCATAATGGAAATGCCACCGATGAAGTATCCGCTGAAGCCGCCGTCGCACCAGATGTCGTGCCTGGAGGTGATTGAGAGTCTGCAAATGCAAGTTGAAGAGCACAGCCAGCATATGAAGCAGCTGAAGAAGCTGCTGCAGGACCAGATGAAGGTGCTGGAGCAGCGTTTCGTCGAAATCGATCTGGCCATCAAGCAGCTCAATAAGGACTTCAAGAAGGGCGACCACTTGGCCAAACGCCGCACTAAATGAGAATCGAGCAACTGCGACGACTTCCAGACATAGTGTGGGCAAATGCGCTGAGCACGCCTAATCGACTATGTTTTGATAAATAAAGTACATAGAATACAAGTCTCTTTTTTTATTTATTATTATTATTATTTTTTTTTAATTTGCTCTCTTTTTTTTTTTTACTTCAGTAGCCGAGATTTCTCGCGAATAAACAAATACGCATCACTTCTCAGCCGCTGCAGCGTCAGCTTTTTGCTGCCCTGGAGTCTAGCAACATTTCCAGATGCTTTGCAACAGTTCAAATAAGTATGTTTATGTATGTGTATATATAAAGGCCCTAGGCAGCAACAGAACATTCGTCAGTCGCAGATCTATCGAGCCACAGCAAGTTCCAGAAGCTCCGCTCTGTACGTGAAAAGAACTTTAAATACTCTGGCAAGCTTAAAAGTTGTCAAGGTGTTGCCACTGTGCTGCGAAATTTCAAATTATTGCCTAGCGCTGCCACACAATTGCATGCAACCTGTGAGTACACAATGCTAGATATAAGCCCAAGAAAGCTAAGACAATGTCACATCTCTAATTGCTATAGCGTCAAAGGGATCATCAAAGAGAGCATCTGCTGCAAGTTTTTGAAAAGGTTGTGCAAGTTCTACTCTAAAAATAGGTTTAAATTTAAAAAAAGAAAATCCTTAAAGTGCTTTATCTATAATTTACCATTATTAAGTTTCACCAGCTCTAAAAATCTCATATGTATATAGGGAATTTCCAAGAACTACACAAATTAAATATATGTATTTCCCTTGCAGCACATTAACAAAGCGGAATTTTAAAACATGGATAATTCCAATAAGAATACCGATATTGAGAATATCCCAAAATCGAGTGAAGCATCAGATGCCAAAGCGGATGAAGTGGAGTGCTGCAAGGCAATACTAATGAAGGCAAATCAATTGCAATATCAGCTGAACAAGCTGTCCAGCAAAATAGATGGTTTGCAGTTGGTAGACCAATCCGGATTTATTGAGGAATCACTGCAGAACTTTACGCGGGACCTGGACAACCAGGTGGCTTCCATAAAAGCCATTCAAAATATGCAAGCCGAGGAGTTTGAGCAGAAGTTACTGGAAAAGGATCGGATGCGTCTTGAGTTGCTGGACGCATTGAATAAGCAGGAGCAGAGCCATTTGCAGGAGACTGAAAGTCTTAAAAAGCAGCTGGAGGCCAGCGACAAACGGTGCTTGGAGCTGGAGCATCAAGTCGAGAGCAACAAGAGCACCATTGAACACAACACCACCTGTTCAATTTGCTTTGATCAATGGAATTCGTCTACCGAGCATCGCCTGGTCTCGCTTGGTTGTGGACATCTCTTCGGGGACAACTGCATCAGGGATTGCTTGCGGCGAGTGTCGGAGTGTCCACAGTGCAGAGCTAGAGCTGACCAGGGTCAGATACGTTATATCTATGGACGACCATTGTAGGATCCTCTAATAATGCTGAGAGATTTCTGGAGAAATGAATGAATTCATGAATATATATTATGTTATTATGTTATTGAAAAGTTGTTTGTGCTTGAAGAATTGTGGAACAATAAATATATAAGAGTTTCTATTTTAGATTTTGTGGAAGACCTCGATAGATTGGGACTCATTCACATAAGTAATCTGAGTATATTGGTTTTTTACATTGCTGCTACTTTTATTATGAATATCTGTTTCAGCTTCATAGATGTATGTAGATTCATATGCCAAACATTTATCACTTGACTGCAGTTGGCCCATGGCATATCTAGCATTTGGCGTAACATTCTTCACATAATGCTGATGCTTGTCTTGCAGGGAATTATCATGCCAGAGTCTACAATTATGCGCTGCCAGGCAGGGGGCAGGAGGCAGGAGGCACGAATGCTATACATGCAGCGTATAGAAGCCAACAGAAGCCGCCGCAGCACAATCGGACAATCGAGGCGAACAATGGACACCAGCTGGATCGGATGCTGCTGCTGCTGTTGCAGATGGCAGGCGAGTGCCATTTGTCGAAATGGCATTGAATCTGGGCATCGAATGCCGAAAATACAATTATGCTTAGCTCGATCAGAAACACGATCTGCAATGCAAAGAGTTAGGAACAGAGCCCGGGAAAGCAAATCAATGGATGCGTTCAACTGTAATCGACATTCCAGCAGTGCATAGCTCATTCTAATGCAAGCACTGGCCAAGCCACCTTTGGCCAATTGATGGTTATTGCCAATTTGTATGCGACGACAGCGGCCAGCGAGCCAGAGAGCTAGCCACCATATCATTTTCAGCTGTAGGATGTGGCAACCGACAATGCCGACCACAGATGCCGGCGATAATGGCGATAATAATTGTCTTTATCTTTTTAGCTCAAAATCCAGCCAGCAGCAGTAGCAGCAGCAGCAGCAGCAGCAGCTCCAGCGTGTGGACGTCGTCTAACAATGAATTCCATACAATTGGCCGTTAGCCACACTTTCCCAGACCCGCACAATGGGCCGTGGCTTGGATATATTTTATCAGAGCAAACATTTCCAGTGTCCAGTTCGCATTTGGTGGTTGTGTAGAGCAGCGGCAATAGAATTCATACAAAATATGTGTTGAAAACAAAAATGTTCGTTATTTGCATATCAAGTGAATTGGGGGCGCCCAAAAGCAGACCAAAAAGGCACAAAGAAGAGCCACAAACGTAAAGGGAAACCAAAATGAAAATACAAATAAAAGCAGATAAATAAATAAATAAATACAAGCACTCAGTCCAAATGGAGTCATAAAACTTGATAAATGCTACACATTTGCTCAACTCAACTTTTTCTAAATGATAATGCTGATGGCGACGCCAGGCAGAGCTCTCGTGGAATGTAAGCGGTACCAACTGGAAGAAACAATAATAAAAAGTTAAATTTGTTGTCCACAAAGCGGGCTGGGCTGAGCTGAGCTAAGTTGGAGAGGAAAGGGCGGAAGAGAGACGGAGTGGGAGGGCAAGACAGAGTATGCAAATGCAAATGAGCATGTTTTCAAGATTCTATGGGCTCTCTGGGTCCTTGGAAGTTGTTGGAAATTTCTATAACGGAAGTCCAAGCCCCGCAAACTTTACATTCATTAAGATTACAATTTAATTCGAGTTCTGTGTAAAAAATTTGTCAAATAATTACTAAATTATTTAAATATTGAATAAAGCAGTGACTAATATATTTTATAATTATTTATTTTAAACTCAATTTGAAACAAATTTATATGTACTTCTACACTCATGGAGAAGGTATATTGATAGCATCGACAGCCTGGTCAAGGCATCAAGGCTCGGCTAGTCGGGCTCAGTGGGCTGGAGAAGCTCTACTTGTTCCAGCTCGTTTGCTGCATGACACTAAAACAGTTATGACGCCTGTGTCACTCTCAAACTACTTTACAATATTTGTGCGCTGCGGCCACGTCGACGTCGACGTCATTCATAGACGATCACACACACACACACACACACACACACACACACACACATACACACTCACGCGCATAGAGAGAGGCTGGCATTTTATGTCTTTTTTTATTGAAAACTTAAATTTGAAGCGACATGGAAAGGCTTTTATCAGCGCCGTAGTCAATGTTACGGGCGCTGGGCTGCCACCGTTCGTAGGCCTCCTCCGCCGCCGCCGCTCCCCCATACCCGGCTCACCCCACACTTGCAGTGGAAGCTCCCTCTAGGTTCTAAGTGGAGTTGTAGCTGCTGCAGCTACTGTCTGCTTGTCAGCGCTGAGCTCCAAATGATGTTGATGATAAATAAAGTAACGAGTTGGCATTAAAATGATGACAGCCACTTCACAGTAGGTGGGAAGGCGTGCTGCCCCAGCCGCATACTCCGCTGCCCCACCGCTCCCCCTCTCCCACTCTCTGCGACTCTGATGCAGTCAGCTCCGACATTGACAACCAATGTTGGCGTTTATTAATAATTAGGTTGAAGCTCTCTTCACTATTCGGCTATGTGCGCCAATTGACATGTCGACGATGATGATGGTGATGATGATGATGATGATGATGATGATGGTGGTAAAGATGATGTTGTTGCTCGTTGCGAGGCTCGGCTCATTATAATTAGAAAAGTTTCCAAATAGCTGAGCTAGTAAAATCGTTACATTAAATTACAGCGAAACTCTTTGTTTCTGACAAGTGCAATCAACTGCTGCTGCCGCTGATTTGACGTCTACCGCTCTGCTCCCCTCTCTCTGGCTCTGGCTCTGACTCTGGCTTTAACGGGCCATCCATAAAATGTGGCCACAAAATTCATATTCATCAACTTAAACGGCAGGCCAAGTGCCTCGTATCATATATGGGCTAGCTAGCTGTGCGTGTGTGTATGTGTGTGTGAGCACGCACAGCTCTGTCATGTAATTACCCATCGTTTTTTGGCACAATCTTGACCACCTCGTTAAATGTTGGCGCGGTGCTCTCAAAGATCCAACCCCCCATTTCGAGCAAATTGCATGTTGCCCCTGGTTAGCCGTCATTGTTGTTGTTGTTGTTGTTGTTGTTGCTGTTGTTGGCTTGAATGAGAACGAGTTCATTTGGAACACAATTCGATCGTTGGCCATTTCAATAAAACGCTTTTTCTTCCACTCATATTACGCGGATGCTTTTTCGCATTGGCTTCTCCCGCAGCGACTCTACGGCTCATAATCATTACGGGAAAGTCGGTTGCGCCTTTAGCTGCTGCATTAAGAAAAAAAAACAGAAGAAGAAGAAGAACGAGAAGAGAGCTTGTTATGGAAACGATCATACAGCAAACTGGGTTTATTGTTATGATTCACGGTAACTTTGGCAATTTCATCGGCGCGAATCAACGGGTAGCCCAAGCCCAAGCCGAAGCCGAAGCCCCAGTCCCGGAATCATGCCTATTCTTCGATAGTAACTCTGAGTAATCATATGCTAAACGGGCCGGCTTGCCTGTAAATACTAAACAGATTTATAGCTGTCTACTTAAAATGCTAGATGCTAGTTTATGCTCATGTGACAGCAGAGAGCTTCAAGGCTATAAATACATAGAGAAAAAAAAAAATCATCATATAACTCTTTTCTGTGTTCGTTTTCTCTTCTC